TCATTTCTTTATATTCTGCCTCAAAAAATTTATCCAATAAAATTTTCGACTGTTTGATACCTTCAGTACGTAAAATGTTATGGTTTGAATTGAAAATGAGAACGGCACTTCAGGTATGAGTCTAGTCTAGCAAAACCCAATTAACTGCCGTACAGAAATATACTACGAGTCAACAAAACGACAGAATCATGTCGTATGTTCAGAACATCGTAATATTTTTGTTGACAGCATTCCCCGATGTTCTATCGCGTGACCTTACCTTGAGATGTTTCACATTACCACCAACCAGTAATTTTGTTATCGACGTTTTGTTCAATGAACAATTGGTACGCTAGTACGTTATTCTGTTATTCACTGACTGTTTTGTGTTTTCATGATAGATACTATAGTCAGTATAGCAGCAGGAACAGCGGAGAGGATTTTATTATTATTGCCTCAATTTTTTCAGAATTTTCCACATAGTAATAAATCAGGACAGTCCAGAATATGTGTAGAAGTGATGCATGAATGAACTTGTCCAAAATGTTCGTGTCAGTTACTAGAAATAGCACCAGAATATGCCCGTCCTTTCAAATGGACATCATACTCAGTAACCACTATTGCCTCAGATCAACCTTACATCAACTCCTACAAATTATAAAAGGTAAAGATCAGTGGGAGGGTGACATTCAGATGACACTCTCAGTAGATAGTCGAGAGACTCATTGAGAAAGTGAATCGTCCGATGATGAAAACCAAGTTAGAAACAATACGTGCTGAATGTGTCTATGAACCAAGACAATACATTGCTACTCCTGACTATCTGATTACTTCAAATCAACTGATGGTGGATGTTTGTCTCATCCGGGAAACAAATTCGGACAGCATAATTGTCAAAGCAGGAATATGTTTGGAAGAAATCTCCAGAGATTTTCAATGACATCCATGAAGATGAAAAGTCTCCTATTATCACGCCAGTTGAGTTTTTCAAGATCATCTTAGATCAAGAATCAGTTTTTTCAATAGAACAGCAGACAAGTCTTTATTATATGTATTGAATAACCTTTACTTGATTCTGACTGGAAATGACCTATCCGTTACCATTGGAGTTCTCATCTCATAACAAGAGGAGAATATGTTGAAGCAAGGAATAACATCAAAAGAATTATACAGTGCCAGAATAAGATCAGAACTCATGGATTGTTTAATGCCTTTCATTCGTTCTGGTCCCTCGCTAAAGCGATCGAAATAAAATTCACTAATTGTTCATGTCCACCACTCACGAAAGCCGACGGCACATGAACAACAAAGACTCGTTCATCCAATAAACAGCAAGGCTCTGGAACACATTGCCAAGGGAGGTGTTCCCCGAGGCATATAACCACCAGATATTCAAGAAGAACACCAATTCCAACCTTATTTCCCTTGGTTCTCACGATGTTCTCTGAACATTACAGGAACTCCCTTTTCGTAGGAACCAGAACATAAAAAAATCGCAGAAGGAAGCGAACCTTCTTGCATAGATGTTCGCAGCAAATTCCACCTTGGATTTTCAAAAGAGTGTGTCACCAAACATTCCACCCGTTGAAAGTCGCATGCCTGAAATTGTCTTTCATCAACGCACGTATCAGATGATCGGTCTCAAAACGAATAAGTGAGTCTAATGATCCTGATGGGATTTCACCCACCATTCTCAAAAAGTGTTCACTAGAATTGACACTGATTCTCTGCAAGGTATCTCCTACAAGCCTGGTATTTTTCCATCTTGGTGGGAAATAGCTAGATAGTCCAACCAATCCCCAAGAAAGAAAACAGAAGCCTGCCGAACAACTATTGGCCAATTATTGTCCAGTTATCACCATCATAATTATATATTAATGGTCGTTGTAATAATAAATATTCATTCAAATGACTATCAGAATAGTTGATGAGAACGAGTTTCCGACATGAAAATATACAGGGGCTCCAATTTGAAATAAGACAAATATTGTGCTTTGGAATTCGAAAAGTTTTCCACCAAATGTTGCACACCCTATGATATCAATTACACTCGGTTTGCGATCCTCTAAGGCCTCATTTGATTGTTTGTCTTATGACTGAGCAGTCGCACCTTTTTTTTGTTATTATTGTGTTTGACCAGTGGTGCAAAATTGAATTTTTTTATTATATTTTCGAATTGATTTCAATTAAATTCCAGGAGTATGTACTTACCTATGTAGGTAACTACCAGAAGCACTTGAATGTGCAACAAAATATATACCGGGTGGCTACGGAAGTCTTGCCTACGAAATATCCCAGTTATTGTATGAAGTAGGTTTGTGAAATTTGGAGCGTCGATATAATGACATAAGAGCTAAAATTTGAGCATATTGACATGTCGAAGGTGAATTCCGGTCTGACCGGAAGTAACATCAACTTTCTTATTTCAAATGGAAACCCTTTTTTTTTTTTCTTCTTGCCATATTCAGCATTCAATTCCCCTTCTAATGACATATCACAAGTTGGTATCTAACCAGAAACTAGATCAAAAAGAATTATTATCGAAATTCACCGAGTAGGCCGTGGAAGCAAAATGAAAGTCAAAAATTGAAAAGTTGGCTATGGAACCCATACGTCACTTGATAACAGTTGCTACTACTGTGACATTTTATTTTCATTCGTCGGCGTTATAAAAAGCCGCCAAAAAAATATTGGAAAAATTGGGAAAAAAACAATACTCTGTAGGTCCATAACTTAAATAGGAACATACAACTTTTTCTTGCCTGTACTATTCAGCATAACCATTCCTTTCTAATGATATAATAGAAAGTCATTTTTTGAAATGAAAGACGCTTCCACGGCCTACTCGGTGAATTTCAATAATTTTTTTTCTCTGATCTAGTTTCTGGTTAGATACCAACTTGTGATATGTCATCAGAAAGGGAATTGAATGCTAAATGGAGCGAAAAGAAAAAAAATAGGGTTTCCATTTAAAATAAGAAAGTTGATGTTTCTTCCGGTCAGACCGGAAGTTACCTTTGACATGTCAATATGCTCAAATTCTAGCTCTTATGTCATTATATCGACGCTTCAAATTTCATAAACCTTCTTCATACAATAACTGAGATATTCCGTAGGCAATACTTCCGTAGCCACCCGGTATAATAATGATAGTTTATTCCACATATGGCATGCAATTCAAAAAATATATATCATTTTGACGTCACACTTCTTTGGGACACCCTGTATAATTGAAATTGTTTTTCTGGTATGTGCCCTATGATACAATTTTACATCAAAATTCCGACTTATATCTCGGAATTTTAAAATTCCGAGTTATAACTCAGAATTTTGAAGAGATTTCATTTTTTTTATTTTATGTGTCCCTTCCAGGCCTTCGTAACTTGAAGATCTTGAAGCTTATAAAGTAGTAGTCCCACCTAATAGGATATCAATGATAGAATACAGAGTGGTTCAGTTTGGTCAAATCATTTTTGACCAAATTGTGACTCATTCACTTCTGGTTCCAATGTCTTCAATTACTCGAATAGTAATAACAAATTCATGTTCCTATTGACATGGATCTGCTAACACATGGTATGCGAGTTATAGGACATCGCAAAGATGAATACAGCAGGTATGTTCGGTATCTCGAATGGTTCCTGAGATATCTTATCTCATATGTTAATACTTGGGAAACCATCAAATGGATCACTCAGTCTCGTGGTATGGAATATATTTTCGAAATTGAAGCGATGAATGAACTGTAATGTTGTGAGTAGACAGTGCCATTCATAAAGTTGGCATCATATGGGAAAAAATTTGCTACCACTTCATTCTGAAATTTGAATTGTGCGTTAGGTTTTGCTTCAAATGAGATGAAAAATGGCCGACTTTCAAATTAATCGCTGAAAATTGACTTATTTGTTAGACTTTCCAGAAAGTTTACTGGGAAAAGTTGTTTTTATTCCAGTTCCACACATGAGTCTCGAATTTCAACGTTCCATTGCAACTTTTAGTTCTTGATATTTTTTCATTTTTTCTAATTATTGTTAGGTACTTCGACAAGAATACTGTCCTAAACTTTGGTTAGATACGTGAAGTAGGTTGATTATATTTTGATATATGACTTTGGCAGCATTTGAATACTGAAAGAATCAACATCAACAATCAGACATGATAAAAATTCAAAACGGGGGATTATCATTCACCGAAGAAAATCATAATTTTGTCGATCACAGTCATTGAAAGTTAGTAGCATGATGAAGTTACAAGAATGCAGTAGTTTAGTCTGTGTTAATTTTTTTCAATATTACAGACATTTCGTAAAAATAGGAAAAATATCAAGAATTAAAAATTGTTATGAAACGTTCAACTTCGAGATACATGTGTAAAATTGGCATAGAAACAACTTATCTCTTCGAACATTTTCGAAATTTGAACAAATAAGCCTTTAGTTTCAGAGAATAATTTGAAGAAATGTTACAATATTGACATGTAGCAAAAGACACGTGACCTTGATCGAGTAGTCCATTTTTCATATTTTTCAAAGCAAAACTCAACGCCCAAGTCGAATTTTGAAATATATTATGACTCAAAGTTTTCCCCATGTGATGCCGACATTATGAATGACACTGTATGAGACATTACCCTATAGATCGTAAAAGGAATGTTTGTTGGAACAATCTGAAATGTTCGAAAAATTTTGATCTTCACGTATTCCATACCATCCACCATCTTCAGTTCATTATTGAATGGTAATATCCTAAAACTCGTTCAGGTTTACTTCTAGTGATACTGATCTATCAAGAAGAAAAAAAAACTAGGGGCTCAAAGTCGGTCAAAGTCGGTCGACCACACTCCACTTTGAAGTGTGGTCGACCGACTTTGAGCCCCTAGTTTTTTTTCTTCTTGAAAATACTGTGGACCACTTTGAGAAAATGAATGATTTTCATGATTTATACTGATCTATAGCCGAAACACATGAATTCGTCATTATCGAAAATATTTTCAGGAATACCTCAAGATTTGATAGCATCCGAAATTATTTTTTGCTTACAAAAATTTATTGTTATTATGTTTTTGATTGCTACAATTTCTGAAATAATAAGAGCATGCATGATATGCGAATATTCATCAAGGGTGTGTAATTCTACATGGGAATGGAATGATAGTCTTCTGCCAAAACGATGGTCGAAAAATGGTGTGTTACAAGAGTATGAGGTATTGAAGTTGAATGAGGTCGTTCACAGAATCTTACTTGATGAGATACCATATTCCAGACCAACTAGCTGCATCGCAAAGTATAGTATCCTTCAGTTATGTTTTCAATCTTCTCAGACAATATATGGAGGTATGTATTTATTTTTTGTTTAGAAAATGGCTCATAGCAAGAGAAAGCTCAGGAGAGTACTCCATCTTTCAAATATAACAAGGAAGTTGCTGATTGTCGGCTCTGTTGAAGCTGATAATCAATGTCAGTAATGAAACATGTACATTTATTCATCACCGAAATGTCTCGACTGATTTTGCAATTATTAATTTCAGTTTTCTCTTTGAACTTCTCTCCATTTGTAGTAACACATTGTCAAATATTCGCATATCATCAAGGAACATCCTGTAGTTATATGTCATCGATCCCAATCAGTCGCATTTAATGACCATATGCTTCATTGTTTCTCTACCCGGCGCACTATATTCATATGCTGGTCCTGCTTCGATCACCCAAATAGTTCCATTTGACGCGTATTTTATAACTTTTACAGCTTCTTCAGCAAGAAACTGCGTCCTGAAACAAAAAAAAAATCATGTTAAAAAATAGTACATTGATTCATCACCCAGCAAACATTGAACTAGTGGGAGAAGTCCGGCCTAGTGCAGGCTGGTCTGGGAAAGTGACGATGCCGGGATATCGGTGATGAGCCGATGATTTTCCTATACCACGTAACCAGCCGTTAAAAATACGATGCTGGCCTTGTGATGGTAGGATGTCTGGAATTAATTGAATCCTAACGAGATCTGGCCCTTTGCTGGCCAATTTCATGTTCGCTACTTGTCCCCCTGATGGATGTTCTGGAAACGTCTACATCAACAATCAGCTGATCAATATTATACCTATGTGACTAAGATGGCTGAACCTCGTGAGTTGTGATCGCGTACTATTTGGTTTGTTTATGTCGAATAAATATGGACCTCTCTTTCCCTGGTGGTTATTCATGATGGCAGGAGTATTCTCAATTGATATAATAATAGAAGACGGATTGTTCAATTATGATAATATTGAGTGAGTATCAATCTACCTACATAGTGTTTTGAATTTCATCATTAAATGCATGTGTTTGGTATCTCGTAGCCTCATATACCAAAGGATCATAATAATTGGAGTTGGCTATACTTCTCCAGAAGCAACTATCATTTTTAACTCGTTTGTTGCTATCAGAAGCAATCTTTGGTTAAATGATCCTATCTCTATATTGAAGAACTAAATAACAGTGAGGTTTCAACTTCAGAAATACCAGTGCCAAGAAAATAATGAGAATTGAAAAGCTCCATGTTATCACGTCATCAGACTATAGACTATATTATCAAGTTATAAACTCATGCAACTCATAGGTCACTAATATATATTGGTATTGGAATTGGTAGGTTGGATGGTGACAGATGCGCTGTGACCTAATTAGATCTCACTAATATATAACTAATGATACATTTCAGAAGTACCTCACAACGAAGAATCAACTTTGAAGGAATGCTACCCTATAAAATACCACCTACCAACCAGCAAGCAGTCACTCCCAGAAGTTTCATCGTTGACGAACAGAGAGGTTAAGAAGATATCATTGTGTCATTCATAAAATTGTTTTCTTGGAATCTGGTATGTGTCTGATTTATGATGAGAGGGTTATATTTTGAAATAAAGAAGTATTAGAACTTTCAGATTCATTGGACCCCTAAAGACCCCTCCCCCTCCCCTACCTCGATAGTATGTAACCAATGTCGTTAATTGGCCATTACAGCCCCATAATTTATGTATATTATGCTGGGCTTGCTATGGGAAACTTAATGTATCGATTATGTTGTACTGGCTTTTTGCCGGGGAACTGAATATGATTGCTGGGTACCCAGGACTGGGACCAGCTGCCGGCCGCAGTGTACTGATATACAGAGTCCCGCATATGGAACCATTTACTGGGCTGCTGATGTCATGTATGGGAAAAATATATTAGGCTATTGATTTCCCATATTGAAATGTTTGCTGGGCAGGATCTAACTCTAGCTCACTGAAATTGTTGCCTAGCAACTACATAGTGTAATGATATTTCCCCGAGAGGGGCAAGAACATCAAGGCAGGAGTACAATGAACTTTTTGTATCACGCATCTCACATTGTTCTCGAACATCCCGATATTTCTGATATGTAACAAGAATAATTTTCCTATGGAGAAACCGTGCGACTTATCGCGTATCGCATTTACACATCCTTCAAGCGAGTTCATTTTGTATCCAGACCACGCCCGACCGAAGGAGTTATTTGCCACACGTGCCAGATTTAAGTAGGTGGGGCAACGACGCCAATTAGTCGTTTCTCTATAGAAAAATCATTGCTGTCAGTCAGACAACCAGTGAGTGTCAACAAGAGAGTTGTATACCGCATGTATTCAAACCATTCGATATAAATAAAGATTATAAGTTAGTTCTAAATTAGTGTTTCGTCAAGTGAAATAAATCGGTTCGAAAATGAATAGTATTGTGTTCGCTTCTGCACATGAATAACGTCACAATTGGTGTCAGAAGTGTGGGATATTCCAGTGCGAAGTGAACAGACTGTAATAATAAATTAGCTGAACGAGTTGAAGGTGGTGGACTTGAAATGTATATTGGAGAAGAGGTATCTCGACAACAACAGGGATGGGGGCGACCCTTCAGTATCGTCTGTCGAGATTCAGAGACCTTTGAGGAACCAGCTTCAGCGGAATCGATGTTGACTGGAATCTCTGAACATATCGTGTCTCAGCAGCAACAAATCTTGGCACAGATGGTGGCTTAGCAGAAGAATATCATGGACCAGATAACAGCTCAGGATATAGCGGCTTAGCAGGTGAAGATATCAGCTCAGCAAGACAAGATCACGGCCCAGATCACTGCTCCACACGAGGAGATAGAAGTACACCGACAAGATATAGCAGCACACTTCCAAGAAATGGCAGTTCAGCAGGAAAATATGACGGACCAGATAAGATCAGCAGGAGAGGATTGCAGAACTGATCACGGCTCAGCAAGAAATGATCATGGACAGAGAGCTGCTCAGCGACAGGAAATCGCGGACCATATAGCGGCAAGACAAGATCGTGTCTCAGATCACTGCTCAACACAAGAAAAGAACAGATGACCGCTCAGAAAGATCTGATCGCTTCTCAGATATCGACCCAGCGGGAAGAGGTTCTAGCTCAGATTGCTGCTCAGCAAGATCAGATTGCGGCTCAAATTTGAAATCGTGTCGCGGCTCCGCCATTTCTGCCCATAGCGCTCCTCAGCAATAAGAGATGGCAACTAGGAAGCTGCATCGGGAATTAGATGAACTGATGGTGCAATTTCAAATATTAGCTGCATCGGAAATATCGAAAAATAGACAACGGCTTGCGAATGAAACGAGAGTAGGACTAGAGCCAGTAACTACTACATATCAACTAAAACTACCCACATCTGATGGACGAACATCGGGTTCAAATTATCTGAAGCAGTTCGAAGCAGCTAGCATCCAAATCCAATATGGGTGAACATCCGGTCTTTGAGTTTTGTGAAACATCCAAGGACAAGGTAGTGGCTTCAACAGTAGCTCTAAGGCGTGATGCATCAACATGCTGCGGTATGATCACGAACATCTTCATCAAGTGTTTCATTTACAAATGCAGACCCATCGATACAGAGCCAACGAGGCCCTTCAGGAAAACGAACTGGACATATCCCGACTAGTGCATTGTGCCTATTCGTCAGGCCCAGCGTCCCATATATGTCTAGCTGTTCAAAGGCTCGTGGATGGATTGTGGGATATCTCAGTACAGGAAGCACTTCGCCTGACTTGGCCAAAATACCTCATCAGTGCTCTGGCAGCTGCGCTTTCACGTGGCCGCGGCACAAACTTTTCAAGGATTAGCGAAAAGTCCGAGCCATGAATGGCAGAAAAATCATATAAGATGATTTCAGGCAATATCCTATTGAAGCTCCAATCAATACTATCAAGGGCCACTGAGAGGAAAAGAAGAGACCGGTCCGTTGTTGGAATCACGGAGAGTTGGGCCTCCTTCCGAGTGCTTGTAAGCGTGCCAAACAGGTTGCTGAAGAAGGATCATTTACGCGATAGACCTCAAGGGGGCAGCTTCGATCCGTAATTCTCAAGAGCCCTTCATCTTCGTGGCATATCTACGGCGTGATAACAGCAGCGTCTAAGTAGATGGACAAATCGACGAAAAGGAATGCGCGTTGTTGTGATGCATCGAAGCCACTGATACAAAGAAAGTCACCTCTGAGTGCTCGAGATGGCTTCTGAGAACTGCTACGGGCAAAGCTGCCACCGTCTATGGGGTAATCCAAGTGGATATCACGATTGGGACCATAAAATTCCCACATTGAGCTATCATGGTAGATATTGAACAATATTTTATTCTGGGAATGGACATTATATGGGTGCGCGAGAAATTCAACTGGAGTCCAGAAGCAAAACACTCAAGGTGGGTGCCGAAGAGATCTTCTCACATCCACAAGTGGAGGTAGTGGCAAGGGTAACGGTAGTAGAGGACTAACTATGAACAAAACGAAGCAAGGCAGTCCCATCATCATGGAACCCTAGAACCATGACGATGAGGTCGAACGAGGAACCTTTGTCAGCATAGAGTAACTGTCAGCGTACGATTATGAACCTGTTCGATTCATCAACATAGATAAATCACCCAGTGACGATTGGCAAAGAAACGTAAATTGGAACATTTGTCCTGGCAGCCTCCATAATCCACTAGGTGACAGCAACCACTGAAGAGGCCAGCAATGAAGAACTCGTCTCTGCTCCGAGTGACTCAGTCAACAACTGACAGAAAAAGAATTTACCTGAGTAACTCCGAAGGTATTGAACCATTTCCATACCTATCAATAGAAAAACAGGTAGAATCACGAAATCTATACAGGGAATATCAGAGCGATTCGTCATTAGCCCGGAGATTGCCACAGGCAAGATCATCAAAGACATGGAACACGACGAGGTTATCGAGCCATCCAATAGTCCTTTTCCTCCACCATTGGTCCTAGTTCAGTTCATTGATAGTATAGGTAGGTATGGACATGAAATATTAATGCATTATTTATTTACGGAGGTTATTGAGAACACAAACTTTTGATCCTATCATCAGAGCAGAGATGTTCAAATCAAAGATATTCTGACTTCTTCGATCTATAAAAGATTGTATGCAGACTTGTACTCTCAGTAAATGGAGCATCAGAAAGTATGTCCAGGGTTCAGAAATCACAAATGATAACAAGAAAAGAACTCACAACAGAATTAGAACAAAACAAAAATCATCATAATACATAATTATGTTGATGATAAGTTTTCTCTGTGGAAGAAAGGAACAGAGGTAGGTGGATCAAATCATAGATATTATATGGATATGTGATATTGAATCATTGTTCGTTTCAGAAGATTATGGAAAACACAAACTTCATCATCTATAAAATATTGTATGAAGGCTTCAACTTTCAGTAGATTCAGCATTAGGAAGCATATCCAGAGTTGAGAAAT